AGCCCTGAGCTAACATCCATGCTAATCCTCCTCTTTTTGCTGAGGAAGACCGGCTCTGAGCTAACATCTATTGCCAATCCTCCTCCTTTTTTTTCCCCAAGGCCCCGGTAGACAGTTGTATGTCACAGTTGCACATCCTTCTAGTTGCTGTATGTGGGACGCGGTCTCAGCATGGCGGGAGAAGCGGTGCATCAGTGGGCGCCCAGGATCCGAACCTGGGCCGCCAGTAGTGGAGCGTGCGCACTTAACCGCTAAGCCGTGGGGCCGGCCCAACCTTAAACTCATTTAAATGAGAACTTCTTGGATGAGAATCGTACCTACGTCACTTTTTTTTTTTTACAATGCCCAGAACAGTACAATTTGGAGTTATGTCTTAATAAATGATAACTGATTGTGACTGGAAACAGTATTACTTATGGTAGCTATAGGGTAGGTTTCCAGCTTTCTTTGAGGTCTCTCAAGCTAAAATTCCTTCTGCTGGCCTCTAAGTCACTATTGGCATTTTTTTCTTTTCTTTTCTTTTTTTTTTTTTTTTGTGAGGAAGATTAGCCCTGAGCTAACATCCATGCTAATCCTCCTCTTTTTGCTGAGGAAGACCGGCTTTGAGCTAACATCTATTGCCAATCCTCCTCTTTTTTTTTCCCCAAGGCCCCAGTAGATAGTTGTATGTCATAGTTGCACATCCTTCTAGTTGCTGTATGTGGGACGCGGCCTCAGCATGGCAGGAGAAGCGGTGCATCAGTGCGCACCTGGGATCCAAACCCGGGCTGCCAGTAGCAGAGCGCGTGCACTTAACCACTAAGCCACTGGGCCGGCCCAATTGGCATTTATTTCTGATAATTGGTAGCTTTTTCTAACTTTTTACATGACTATATAAAATTTTTTAGTCTCAGAAGAATTTGCTGCAATTGGTATCCTGGTGGGGAGGGTGTGGTTTTTCGAACCTAACCTAGTGTCTTTTTCCAGTCAGTTATCCATGTTAGAAGCTCAAAATGCACATATGCAGTAGGCCTAAGATATTGCCTGGTTTGGAAAGAGTTTAAACTATTTGAATCACCTTTATAGTAAACATTTACTCTCATCAGGACCTAGAAGAGGAGCATTTTAATTTTTTCTCTTCATTCCCTTTTCCTCTTCAAGCTTTTCCTTCAATAGTCATTACCTTTTTACATTTTGGAGTTTTCATCTGTTTGAAGTTTGTGTTTACAGTATGTTTATATAGCTTGGCTTATAGTTACCATACTGAAATATAATTATTTCAGAATTGAGTCAGTGGTGAGAATGAAAGCCATCTGGTGTCCTAGCTAAATCCAATTTCTCTTTTACTGAGAATTTCTTTGGTATCAGCTTATCTCAGAAATAGTGATTTAGTAACAAACCAGAGTTCTCTTTGTTCGGTTGTTTTTCTTTTTAAAACTACATTCGGTCCCAATAACAATACTAACATTGGTACAAGTCATCTCACGTTGTGAACAGTTTCCCAAGTAGCATTTAATTTTGTTCTCACAATAGCCTGAAGAGACCGGAAGAGTGGGGGACAGAGAAGGAAACTGAAGTTCAGGTTTGGCCTGAGGTCACTCTGCTAATAAAAAAGGAGAACGGGTAGTAGAAACCCAGCCTTCTAACTTAACTCTGGTATTTTTCTTTTCGTTGCCCTGTGCTGCGTCAGAAACCCCATGATCACAAGAGTTATATTACCAACGCCTTCACAACGAGGCTATTGTCACCCAGCTTTTCTTGTGATCCTTTTCTAAAAAGTTAAACATTTAATGAAAAGAACCACATTCCTGTCACACACAGGTTGCCTGTTCTTTGATGTCCTGCCTGAACTTTACCAAATATCAGTTTCTAAAGCTCTCATTCAGAATCAAAGCTAAAGACTTTAAAATAGCCTGTAGGTTCCTACCCGCTCAGGCTTCCCGCTACCTCTGACCTCTTCTACCACTGCTTCCTGCCTTGATCACTCCATCCTGGCCCCTGGCCTGCTTGCTAACCTCAAAAACACCAGGCATGGTCCCGCCCAAAGTCTATCTTGCATGACTTGTTTCCTCACATTATTCAGCTATCTGCCTATGTCACCTTCTCAGTAAGGCCTTTCTGGCCACCCCATGTACACCCCCCACACACTGCACTACCTATCCCCCTTAGCCTGCTTTATTCTTTTAGCACTCATTCCCATGTGTTCTTGTTTATTTATCAATCAACTGTCTCCCACCACTAGAATGTAAGTTCTATGAGGGCAGGCTTTATTTTGTTCACTGCTGTATTTCCATCTCTAGGAACCGTGCTTGCATATAGTAGATGCTCAATAAATACTTTATTATGTTATGTTAGTAAATGAATGAATTTCAGGAAGGCCTTAAGATTTTTCTGGATAGACGGGTAGGGATGGGAATTTGGGTGATATGTTTTCTCCAAATTTTTATGTTTTTTTAAGTTTATTATTTTCTAAATTTTCTTCAGTGAGTATTTATTACATTGTTTTTTACGAAGTAATCACAAACCAAGCCGTATATTTTCTGAAGTGATGTAATAAAAGTACACAGTACTACCAGTAAAGTGTTCCTGCCAAAAAATTGAACTTGAATTTAATTGAGCCTGTAGGTCTAGTTTACAGGAAATAAAGGCTAGAGGAACATGTTAAACCACATCATAGGCTTACAGTCAACAAAATTCAGAATGTGGGAAATTCTGTGTTTTTTAAGTAAATGACAAGGGAGGAAAAAGAAGGGGAAATCTATAGATTAAAAGAGACTTGAGACATATCAAAACAAATGCAACGTGTGGATCTTGTTTGGATGCTGATTTAAATAGATTTAATTATTAAATTTTTATGAGACAGGGAAATTGGAACATTAATTGTATATTAAATGATATTGAGGAAATTATTTTTTAGGAGTAATAATGGTTTCATGGTTATGCTAAAAAAGTCTTTATCTTTTAAAGATATGTTCTGAAATATTTATAGATGAAATATGATGGCTGGGATTTATTTTAAAATAATCTGGACTTTGGGTGGGTGTCGGTATGGATGAAATAAAATTGGCTGTGAGTTGGTAATTGGTGAAACTGAGTGATGGTACATGGAGTTCATTTTACTATTTGTGTAAATCCTTGAAATTTTTCATATTAAGAAATTAAGGGGGGGCCGGCCCCGTGGCCTAGCGGTTGAGTGTACGCGCTCCGCTGCTGGCAGCCCGGGTTCGGATCCTAGGCGCACACCAACGCACCGCTTGTCAGGCCGTGCTGTGGCGGTGTCCCACATAAAGTGGAGGAAGATCAGCTTGGATGTTAGCTCAGGGCCAGTCTTCCTCAGCAAAAAGAGGAGGATTGGCATGGATGTTAGCTCAGTGCTGATCTTCCTCACAAAAAAAAAAAGAAAAAAAAAAATTAAGGGCCGGCCCAGTGGCACAGCGGTTAAGTTCTTGAGTTCCCCTTCAGTGGCCCAGGGTTCGCCAGTTCAGATCCTGGGCGCGGACCTACTCAATGCTCATCAAGCCATGCTGAGGCGGCATCCCATATAGAAGAGCTACAACTCTACAACTACAATGCACAACTATGTACTGGGGCTTCGGGAAGAAAAAAGGAAAAAAATAGAAATTAAAAATAAGACAGTCACACACACAAAAAAGTGCTGTGAGGGAATCCAAAAGAAATACATGAAGTTTTTGTCATTGTGGAGCTTAAAGTTGAGTTAAGATGTAGGATGTGCACCCACAAGAGTATTGAAGAGATTAATATATTCTGTTTTGATGTCTGAAAGCTCAGTGAGGGTAAGGATCATATTCTCTGCTGTATTTTTGGCTCCTAGCACAGCAGACATTTAATAAATACTTACTGAGTGAACATAAAGCCTTGTCTTGACTCAGTAATAGCTGCTTAAAGTTGAACTTATTTGCTAAGAATATATTTATTTTTAAATGAATTATTGAGCCTCATTTATTTTCTTTTCCTACCCTTCTAGTTTGGAGTTGATCAAAGAGCCCGTTTCCACAAAGTGTGACCACATATTTTGCAAGTAAGTTTGAATGTTTGATGTGGCTCCATTATTAGCTTTTGTGCTTCTCCTTCATAACAGAGGAAACAACTAACTTTGTAGAAGCTTTAGCTTCTTCAATTAAGTGAAAAAAAATCTGTTTCATTCTGCCTCATGGAATGCTTAGAAAGTCATCATAAGTTGGTTGTAGCCATAGTTCCTGGTAAAATATTGGCATATTTATCTAGTGGGATGTGAAATCATTTTGAACAGCTGTTTGTTTTTTGTGTCCATGTGTGAAAGCAGATTGCAAGCAATTGTGAAAGAAGCAAATTGTATTTTAACCTTCCCAGTTTCTCCTTTCTGTTCATTTCTGCACGTCCTTTTGCTTTTCTCCTTCTAAGGGTCAGTGTTTGCCGGCTTCATAATCCTCGTGAAGATAGGAAAGAATCTGATATCAGTTTATATTTAAGCTGAAATTCATTCATACCAATGATTCAAGTTATATTTACATTTTTAAGGATCTTGCCGTTTAAAATGAAAATGTTTCTTTTTTTTTAATTGAGGTAACATTGGTTTATAACATCATTTAAGTTTCAGGTGTACAATATTATAATTTGACTTCTGTATAGAAAATGTTTGATGATAGAAGAATTTCAGAAAAAGTTTGGTAGGTGATTGGGTGGAATGAGGGCTTTTCTCCTTTCCTGGTGTTAAGCTATGATTGAGACTTGCCCTGAATGCCAACTAGTTTGTTTTTAAGTATTTTTTTCTTTTTTAATTGAAAAAGCAAGCAATGTCCATGGTAATGACTTTACTAGCACAGAAGGTTATATGATGCTAAGTACATTTCCCTCCTACCCCAAAACCCTTGCCTCTCCCTTCCCTCCCCCAAAACAACTACAATTATCAATCTCTTATCTAACCTCCTAGAAATTTTTGAATTTAAGAGTTCTTAACTTGGGATTCATGAATGGTTTTCATAAATTTCCTAAAATTATATTCAATTTTAAATTCAGTTGTATTAAAAACTATAGGCATGTGCAGTTTTCTAGGAAGACAATCCAGCATTTTCCTCAGATTCTTAGAATGTTTCTGTAATCTGAAAAATGTGAAGAGCTTCTGTGTTAAAGATAATGAGGGCTGGGGGCCGGCCCCGTGGCGCAAGTGGTTAAGTGCGTGTGCTCTGCTGCGGCAGCCCAGGCTTCGCCAGTTCAGATCCCAGGCGCGCACCAAAGCACAGCTTGGCAAGCCATGCTGTGGCGGCATCCCATATAAAGTGGAGGAAGATGGGCACAGATGTTAGCCCAGGGCCAGTCTTCCTCAGCAAAAAAAGAGGAGGATTGGCAGATGTTAGCTCAGGGCTGATCTCCTCACAAAAAAGAAAAAAAATAAAGAGAATGAGGGCTGGCTGAAGGTGGAGGAAACCTGTTCCCTTGGGAGGGATATCCTCTGAGAACAAGTCTGCCAACTGGCTGACTCCTTCTTTCCTCTGAATTCTACCTTATTCTTCCCATTCATCTGTCCCAACAAGGATCCAGACCCCTTGTCCATTGTCTCTCATCCCTTTCCCATGCACCCCACTGGCCTGGATCTGTTCCCAACAGTTTCTTTCTGATTCCTCAGGCCTTTCTCCCTGGTCAGGTGCCAGGGTAGCACAGCTTTATCTCTCTGCTCTGAGAATTTTTAGTTTTGGGGCCTTTAGAGGAAAGCTTCTCAAACTATCTATGGTGTAGGACCAATTTCTTCATAGATCAATACTTTTGTAAAACAAAATTTAAAAAGTTATAGAGAGCTGAAGGTTAACCTTTTAAATGCTGGGACTCTCACTGTTTCTTGATGAGAATCTTTCTGAAATGTACTGTATGCATTCCTGTCACCTTGAGTAATGAATACGCAGTATTATAGTGAGTACAGAGTAGATTAAATTATGAACATTCTGAGAGCTTGTAGAAGAAGGAAATTGCAGGCAGAGGAAATAATATGAGCAAAGGTACAAAGAGAAGAAAGTAGAATATGTCCAGGAAAAAGAAACTAACTTTGCATACGTGTATAGGAGTTGTGTTAGAAGAGGAAGGAGCCCTCAGAGAGAAGATGACATTTGCAAGAGAGAGAAGGTCCAGGAGGAGGTAGAAGGGATTAGAAACAGAAAATGGGTGCAGGAAAGAGAAATAGTTGTTATTCATAAACAGTAATGAAGGAAAAGGAGAGTAATTCTATAGAAAGATTTTGAGGTAGGGCAGGGAGTAGTTGAGGTAGTTTGAGCTCAGTGAAGTTGGAGGTGAAGACATCTGTTAAGATTGAGAGGGTTAAGGTTAATAACTGGGGGAAAGTAAGAAAGGCTTGCAGCTCCTAATACAGAGAATATGATAAGCAGAAGAACCAGCTGTATCTTAAATGATATAATAGAATTAAAAGTTTAGTATAATACCCATGTGATCAACTTTTTCATGAAATCTCTTCTGTAAAACCTTTATAATCTGAATAACACCTTGATCTATATGATGAGAAAGCTGGAAAACCACCCCCCAGCATTAATTTTATTCTATTTTCTCAAGATGAATTCTAATTGCTAACAATAGAATAGTTTTATTGACCAAGGTAAGCCCATGGTTCTGAAATCTTTCATGCGATATACAAAAAAGATAAAAGTACTAGTCTAGAGAAGAATTACTTAGACTATCCATGCGTTAGCTTGCAGTTTCCAAACAACAAATGAAATGTGTAATACTTTTTGGAAGATCTAGAACCACATTGTCCAAAGAGATATAATATGAGCCGTAAATGTAACTTAAATTTTCTAATAGCCATATTACTTTAAAAAAAGGTTAAATTACCTATAGTTATATATTTATGTATTTTTAACTCAATTATGAGCAAAATTTTATCACTTCAAAATATAATCAATATAAAAAATATTAATGAGATATTTGACGTTCTTTTTTTGTAGTAAGCCTCTTAAAGCCTGTGCTTTTCCATACTTACAGTACATCTTCCTTCACACTAGCCACATTTCAAGTGCTCAAGAGCCGCCTGTGGCTAGTGGCTGCTGTATTGGACAAGGCAGCTCTAGGAACTTACTACTCAGAGTGGGACTCGTGGGCCTGAAGCAACCACATCACATGGGAACTTGCTAGAATCCCAGCCCTACCCCAAACCTACTGAATCAGAATCTGCATTTTAACAAGATCCCCAGGAGATTCTAATGCACATTAAAGTTTGAGAAGCAGTGCTCTGGAATGGTGACTTTCCTGTACACTTACCTGAAGGATAGTAAGAGGGACCAGACCAGAGATGGCTGAGGTCTAAAGACTAGATAGACCAAATAAGGCAAGTCTTGGGGTCAGCTAACTGAAGAGATCCAGATAAGTTGGTGAGTCAGTGTCAGGGAGTTTTTAGGGCCGGATACATTAGATCATGATATCTGGGAGTTCTGGACTCTTGCCATGGGTTGGTATGTCAGAGAACCAGAAATAGGCAAGAGATGGATAATCTAGCAAGTAGATTGAATATAGTCAGTTTCTCAGGAGTCTAGCAGCAGAAATGAGCAGAAGTTCAGGGTGGTAGTTATAAGGGACGAAAAGTAACAGGGATCCAGCCATAGGAGGCTAAGGGTTAGGGGTAAGATTCTTGTCCCTAGGAGACAAGAGTCTTGGCCCATGGGACTGGGATACTGGGCAAGGAACCGAGGCAGAATCTCCCAGTTGAAGAGCTCAAGATAGATTCTCAATTGTTGGATCTAAAGTACAACAAGAGGGACCGGCCCCCTGGCTTAGCGGTTAAGTGCGCGCCCTCCACTACTGGCGGCCAGGGTTCGAATCCCGGGCGCGCACCGACACACTGCTTCTCCGGCCATGCTGAGGCCACATCCTACATACAGCAACTAGAAGGATGTGCAGCTATGACATACAACTATCTACTGGGGCTTTGGGGAGAAAAAGAGGGGGGGAAATAAAGTAAGACAAGAGGTTTGATCAAGAAAACAGAGCCTTTTCGAAACTGACAAGGTTTGGTGGGACCAATAACATTGCATGAATGTTGAGATGCTAAGCTGTGGAGCTCTCAGGGTCTTTATTTCCTTTAACTAGGGACCATATATTGGTCCATAATCTTAGCTCTATTGACAGAAATCCAGGGCACCCAATATAATTGAAGGTAGCCAAAAGGTCAGCTTGCCTTTATTTTGCCTAGACTTAGAACTATTAATTTATTGCTTCCTCCCGGGATGTACTTGGACAAGCAACTCAAAACTAGATGAGTTTCCATAACGTTGTTAAACCGCTCAGGGTATAAATGTGTCAAAATGAGTACTCTGAAAAGTCCTCCAAATTAGTTTGTGATGCTGTGATTTTACTGTTTTCCATCAGCTTTTTCTTAAAAAGCTGAAGCCACCCTTCAGAAAACATACTACATTTGCTTAAAAAATGTATTGCCTTTCCTTAGGCACTGGGCTTTAGAAATCCAGGAAGCCCAAAATTTGTCTCAGACTTTTTCATTGAGAACCTCATATAGAACTTATAATGTGTTCTCATTTAATTGGTGCGTCACATGGATTCCCCAGAGCTCTAAAACAGAATTTAATAAATTCTTCTGAGTCCTGAAAGATATGCCAATGTTCTCTTGATCTGTCAATATTTTCCTTAGCTCAGTCTTTTCAAGTCATGTACAAGTTCATTTTCTCTTTTGAATTTAGTTAACAACCTTTATGCATCTGTTCTTCTTCTAGCATAAAGAAAGATTGGAACCCATATCTTGGTTGATTTCTACATACCTAGTTCCCCTGCGTTATTTATGTAATTATTGTACAGGCAATAACACTGTGTAGCTTAGCTTGTCACTATAGTTTAGGTACCATAGTCTGCAGTACTGTGTTCAGGGAATTCCCTCCCTACACCTACCTTGAACTGTTGAATTGTACCATTTGCCAGTGTAATGCATTGATGCCTCCTAGAGCTATTATGATAGAGTACGGATAGTATTTGCATCTTCTTAAGGAGTGGTAGCCTCTTTTCTGTGACTCTTTAAAGGGAATTTATATACAATGCTGGTAGCTTTTTGACACCCTATTCCCTAACCTATAGAGTTGTTGTTGAGTGCAAGGTGGTAGTTAAAGCATCCATATAGGTGAAGAAAGACCCCTGCGTCTCCTTGACCATACCTACATACATTCACTTTCTCTAGTAGAAAGACCATGGACTTTGCTGCAATTCAATCCAGATCCAATAGCACCTTCACCGCTTGACTACTGTGTGATCTGGGACAAGTCTCTACAGTAAAATGAAGATAATACTTCAGGGTTGTTGTGTGGATTAAGGGAGGGCAATGCATGTTAAAGGACCTGGCCAGTAAAAAGCATTCTCTTAGTGTCTGTTGGCTCACCATTTCCACTGTCTTTTCAGCTCCCTTAATCTTTTTTTTCCTGGCTCTCTTCAAGGTCAGTATCTGCTCTCTACTACCCTCCCCAGTCACCTCCCTCACCAGAATACTATGTCCTGTGTAATGGCAGGGATTTATTTTGCTTTTCCACTGCATCCCCTGCATCTAGAACAGTACCGGACATGTAGTAAATATTGGTCGTATGAGTGAATCGCCCCTTTTAATTATCATCATCACAGTGCTCTCTACTGCTCTCTTCCCTTTTTTCCTTTCTCCCTCTCTTTTCTCTTGAGTCTTCTTTTGCCTTCTTCCTAAGGGAACGTGGATCTTTATAGACATCACCAGCCAATGGGAGCAGTATTTTCCTTTGTTAAGGAAACTGACTCATTAGAATATGTTGCATATGTTCTTCAAGTGTTCTTAACTGTATTCATTGTCTGAGACAACCAACAAAATTGTTCTGCATCCAGAGCCATTCTAAAAGCCTGAGTATCTTGGAAGGCTGGTGCCTTCTTCATTCCTTAGACTTTTAGTGAGCAACTTGGTTATGCCAGACACTATGTCAGGCATTGTGAATATAAAAATGAACATGTTTTCTCCCTGCCTTGAGGTTTTTTGTTTTTTGTTTTTTTTGCTGAGGACGATTCGCCCTGAGCTAACATCTGTGCCAATCTTCCTATATATTGTGTGTGGGTCGCTGCCATAGCATGGCCGCTGACAAGTGATATAGGTCTGCACCCAGGAACCAAACCTGGGCTGCTGAAGTGGAGTGCTCCGAACTTAATCACTAGGCCAAGGGGCCAGCCCCGGGGTTTTTTGTTTTTTACGTTTTTATTGAGATATAATTTGCATGCTATAAAATTCACGCGTTTAAAGGGCACAATTCATGTGTGCCCGGCTATCTCAGTCAGTAGAACATGAGACTCTTAAAGTTTGCAATTTAGTTTTTTTAGTATATTCACAGAGTTTGCAACCATCGCTACAATCTAAGTTTAGAACATTTTCATCACCCCCAAAAGAAACCCTGTACCCATTAGCAGCTACTCCCCATTCCCACCTCTTAGGCAACCACAATTCTGCTTCCTGTCTCTATAGATTTGCCTATTCTGGGCGTTTCATATAAATAGAATCATACAATAAGTGGCCTTTTGTGTCTGGTCTCTTTCTCTTAGCATAATGCTTTCAAGGTTCATCTGTATTGTGGCTTATATCAGTACTTCATTCTTTTTTATGGATGAATAATACTCTGTTTTGTGGATATACCACATTTTGTCTATCCATTCATCAATTGATGGCCATTTGAGTTGTTTCTGCTTTTTGGCCATTGGCTATTATGAATAATGCTGCTGTGAACATTTGTGTACAGGTTTTGCATGGACTTAAGTTTTCATTTCTCCAGGCAAGGAACCTGGCAGAGTTGTTTGGTAATTCTGTTTAAGATTTTGAGGAACTGCCAAACTATTTTTCTAGTGGCTGCGTCATTTTGTATTTCCACCAGCAGTGAATGAGGATTTCACTTTCTTCACATCATCTCCAATACTTGTCTGTCTTTTTGTATAGCCATCCTAGTGGGTGTAAAGTGGAATCTCATTGTGGCTTTGATTTGCATTTTTCTAATGATTAATGATCTTGAGCATCTTTTTATGTGCTTATTGACCATTTGGTGTTCGTTTGTTTTGCTGAGGAAGATTCACCCTGAGCTAACACCTGTTGCTAATCTTCCTCTTTTTGCTTGAGGAAGATTTGCCCTGAGCTAACATCTGTGCCAGTCTTCCTCTATTTTGTATGTGGGTCGCCGCCACAGCATGGCCGCGGATGAGTGGTGTAGGTCCGCACCTGGGAACCAAACCTGGGCCACCCAAGTGGAGTGCACCAAACCTAACCACTAGGCCATGGGGCTGGCCCTTTATTGACCATTTGTATATCGCCTTTGGAGAAAATGTTTATTCAAATCCTTTGCCCATTTTTTAATTGAGTTATTTCTCTGTTTATTATTGAGTTTTAAGAGTTCTTTATATATTCTGGATACAAGTTCTTTATCAGATATATGATTTGCAAATATTTTTTCCTATTCTGTGGATTGTCCTTCTACTTTCTTCATAGTATTACTTGTAGCACAAAAGTTAAGTTTGATATAGTTCATCGTATCTATTTTTTTCTTTGGTTGCTTGTGCTTTTGGTGTTTATTTAAGAAATCATTGCTTAGCCCAAGGTCACAAAGATTTATAGTTTTAGTTCTTACATTTAGTTCTGTGATCCATTTTGAGTTAGTTTTTCTGTATTGTCTGAGGTAGGAATCTAGCTTCATTTTTTTACATGTGGATATCTAGTTGTCCCAGCACTATTTGTTGATAAGACTGTTCTTTTTCCATTTAATTGGCTTGGTGCCATTGTTGAAAATCAATTGACCATAGATGTATGAGTTTATTTCTATACTCTCAATTCTATTCCATTGATGTATATGTCTATCCTTATTACAGTACCACACTGCCTTGATTACCGTAGCTTTGAAGTGAGGTGCTGAGTTTTTAAAGTAATTGTAATCATTTTACTTGAACTACTTACCATTTATGTCTGATTGTGCAGCATGAAATAATTATGAATATATCATTAACTATGCCATATTAACTTTTTAATAAGTTTTATTTTGTCATGACAATAAGCCATATGCATGTAAGTTCAGTTTTCATAGATCATTGCTTATGTAGTTTGGTTTTCTGCTTATGCAGCATCTAAAAACAATCGAATGGCAGCCATTTACCTGCCATTACCTTTAAAATGGCTCTTAAGGGCAGTTGTGAGATTATCTTTTTATGGCTGTTTGCCTTTTGAATATTCTGTCTACGACAAAAGGTAACTTGAGTTGTTCTTTTCATTCTTTGTGATTTATAGATTTTGTATGCTGAAACTTCTCAACCAGAAGAAAGGGCCTTCACAGTGTCCTTTGTGTAAGAATGATATAACCAAAAGGTATATAATTTGGGTAATGATGGGAGGTTGGAAGCAACAACAGCAGGAAAAAGTAGAAATTCCTTAATAACATAGCTGGAGTTCCTATCAAACCATTCATCAGTAGAAAAATGTATAAAAGGGTGTTTAGCTGACAGGGTAAATTATTTCTAAAGTCATTTTCCTGAAAGTTTTATGGTACATCTGCCTTATATAACAAGTATTAGCAATTCATTGCCTTTTCCTGAAAGTCTTATCTAAAGTAAGACTGTACAACCCTGCCCACATTGTCTCCAGATCCTGCTTTTATTTTTCTTTTTTGCATTTATTTCTACTTAATTGTTTACACATATACAGTGTATTTACATTGTGTGACCCTCTGGCCAGGATGTAAGTTCTCTTAGGGCACTGGCTTTGTCTATCTCAGTCAACACTGTTTTTCCAATGTTTGGTACATAGTAGTTGCTCAGATATTTAAAGGAATAAATGAATTATATTGTTCTACAACTTTCCTAAACCAAATCTTTCTTTGGACATGGTTATCTGTGTTTTTTAAATAATGTAATCATCATTTGAAAGAAATCTCTGAGAACTAGAAGTGGGAGGTTGGGTGCATGGGATTTAGATGTTAAGAACTGTAAGTTCTCAGAGCCAGCCCGGCGGCGAAGCAGTTAAGTGTGTGCATTCCGCTGCAGCAGCCCTGGGTTCGCAGGTTCGGATCCTGGACCTGGACTGGCGCACTGCTTGTCAAGCCGTGCTGTGGCAGCGTCCCATATAAAAGTAGAGGAAGATGAGCACGAATGTTAGCCCAGGGCCAATCTTCCTTAGCAAAAAGAGAAGGATTGGCAACAGATGTTAGTTCAGGGCTAATCTTCCTCACACACACAAAAAATAAGTAAGAAAAGAACTGTAAGTTCTCTATGCAGTGGATTTATATCTACCATGGATTCAGAGTACTATTATATTTTAGATAGTTACGGGCTTTTGGTAGACTTGAATGGCACAAAAAATTATAAAAACAATCATTACTGCCACACAATTCATTCTGATGTCAATGATGTTTTGATGATAGTGTAATGTCACTAATATCTCTGTTCGTTGAATACAGTTTTTCTATTGTTGCTGCATCTTTTTAAAAAATTTATTTACATGCCTTTCCTTATTTTAGTGTCCTTAAAAAGTTGATAATCACTTGCTAAGTATGTCTCTCAAACAATTTAATTTCAGAAGCCTACAAGAAAGTACAAGATTTAGTCAACTTGTTGAAGAGCTGTTGAAAATCATTCATGCTTTTGAGCTTGACACAGGATTGCAGCGTAAGTGTTGCATAGCCCCAGGAGCCAATGTTCAAGTGGCTGTCCATTAAAACTCAGGAAGTTTGCACAATTATTTTCTATGAATAGGTGATAAGACCTTTTGGTCTAGGTTAATTTTAGTTCTTTATCTGTAACCTATTTTTTAAATCATTCCCAGTGGTCTCATACCTTAGTTTATCGATCATAAGATGCACGTTTTTCACATATTTACACCTCCAAAATTGGGAGTAATTTACCATCAATGACATGTCATTGTTTAATTTGGTGTCTTTTCTTTCTTAGTAGTACAGAAAATAATGGTGCATCTGACATCATTGGTATCTTAGACTCAGTGAAATGTGGTATTAATAGGCGAATGTGTTGATACTGAGGTGGAAAAAAGGGAGTAGAAATAACTTGGATGGTCTGTGTGTTTGTTTCCCAGAAGTAGAATTTCCAAAGTTGATTTTTAAAAAATTATGGGTAACCTTTAATGCTTTGTCTTAATACAACAAAGAGCATACACAGGATTTCTCTTGGTTCTTTGATTACAATTAATACATTTTTTTCTAACTACAAAAATAACTTTTTCCCTTGTAATTCTCAGTTGCAAACAGTTACAACTTTTCAAAAAAGGAAAATAACTCTCCTGAGCATCTAAAGGAGGAAGTTTCTATCATTCAAAGTATGGGCTACCGAAACCGTGCCAAAAGACTTCGCCAGGGTGAACCTGAAAATCCTACCTTGGTAAAGCCATTTTCATTTATTCTCTAACATCTCTGTTGAGCATTGTGAATTAGTGAATGTGCTAGATGCTCGTGGACTTATATAAAAAGTCGGTAAGCAAGGTAAGATGGTAAATAAAGTGGTTGGACATGTGTTCTAATGAACAAGAGTTAGAGGAGTTGAGAGATGGTCCCTGTGCCTAGGGTGGGCAAGAGAGACCGTACAGGTCCTTCCTCTGCTTTAGTGCTTTATCCGTTCTGATGCTTGTCTAAAACAGCCACAAGGTCACTGATGGTTTTAAGCTTGCTAGTGTTTAAAATAACAATCTTCTGGCAATTCTCCAGGCATAAGGAAGTATCTTCTGTCTTATTTCCTCTGAAAAGTTGTGAGAAGAAAAATAAGTTTTTAACATTTGAGAATTGCTTCAACTTAAAAGGTGTAATTGTCGAAGAAAATACAGTGATTTGCTCTGTTGTTACTCATATGCGAATGGATAATGGACATCTTAAAAATAATAGTTTTCATGGTACCAGCATTCATTTTTCAGTAGATGTTGAAGGGTTAAAAAAGAAGGAAAGCTTCATTTGAGTAATGGTGGGTTTTTAAATATTCTTTCCTGTACTGAATGTTCTCAAGATTGCTGGGTTTTTATTGTTTTCATTTTTCCTTTTTTAAAATTTATTGTATCCTATTTACCAACCCTGTTATCATGTGATTGGAAATGTGTACTAAATGAACCTCATTCCCTTTTTATACTATGATGTCAAGTATTAGCTTCAAAATATGCTTTTTTTATACTTCAAAAAATTACAGGTAATACATATTTAGTTTAGAAAAATTTGAAACAACAGAAAGAGGAAAAAATATTCAAACCACACGTAACTCATACATTTTGGTGTGTGGTTTTCCTAGTGTTTTTCCCACATATCATAAATTTTAGCTAATTGATTATGGCCTATTTGTTTTATCCATGGCCTCAAGTTTCCCTTCAGGAAAAAAAAGCACAGAACTGGCTAACATTTACTTGATCATTCTTTACTGCTTAGCAGGAAACCAGTCTTAGTGTCCACCTCTCTAATCTTGGAATTGTGAGATCTTTGAGGACAAAGCAGCAGATACAACCTCAGAATAAGTCTGTCTACGTTGAATTGGGTAAGAGTCTCAGATTTTGTACGTTTAGAATAATAGTTGCTGAATTCTTTGTCTTACAGTTTTACCAAAAACCTTGGTCATAATTTGTACAATGGCAGGGAGATTCGGGAAGTGAAAATAAAATAATTTTACTAGCCTTATGGTGTGTTATAAATAATGTAAAACATGCAGCTATCACCTTGAAAAACCCTACTTCATAAAGAAAGCAAAAGAAAGGATGTCTGGTTATAAGTGTGTGTAAATATATTTTGGAAAGATGGGGAGTAAGGATAAGAAAGAACATAATAACTTGGCTACAGCATTTGGAGGGATCCAAGATAAATTGTACTAGACCAGAAAGACTTTTAAGAAGAACTGAGCTCAGTTCAAACAGGTCTTTCTAATTGTTTTATCTTTTACAACATATTTATAATTGGAAAGAGCGGCCCTCCTTTGGGCTCCCAAGTACCACTGTATGTTTTCCATAGCACTTACTAGATTATTTTGAAGTTACCTGTACGTCTTTTCTCATCTTAAGATCGTAAGTTCCATTGTGCTGCCATAGAGTGCCATTAAGTGCACGCGCTCTGCTACTGGCGGCCCGGCTTCGGATCCCGGGCGCGCACCGACGCACCGCTTCTCCGGCCATGCTGAGGCCGCATCCCACATACAGCAGCTAGAAGGATGTGCAGCTATGACATACAACTATCTACTGGGGCTTTGGGGAGAAAAAAAAAAGAGGGAGGAGGATTGGCAATAGATGTTAGCTCAGAGCCAGTCTTCCTCAGCAAAAGGAGGAGGATTAGCATGGATGTTAGCTCAGGGCTGATCTTCCTCACACACACACAAAAAAAGATCGTAAGTTCCTAGACAACAAGTGTTGTGTCATAAAAATAATCAAAATAATTATAATGGTGGATATTTAAGAGCACTTAACTGTAATCCAGGGACTGTTGTGCTTTACTTATGTAACTCATTTAAGGTGCATGGCAAACCTCTGAGGTTGTTACTATGATACTTATTTTACAGATGAGGAAATTAAGGCACAGATAGGTTAAGAAATTTTGCCAAGGTAGTGAAGCTAGTAAGTGGCAGAGCGATGATTCAAATCTAGGAATTCTGGCTTCAGAGCTTGTCCTTGTAACCACTTCTCTGTATTGCCTGACATCTGTATCATTGTGCTGCCATAGAGTTGGTGCTCAGTAAATATTTCTTGAACGAATATCTGTTTTGCAAAAAGTACATTTTTTGAGTTTAGCTCTTTCAATAAAAATCCTTTTATTGATTTGTTATTTGGGGGTATTTGGGGAATTTTTTTAGGATCTGATTCTTCTGAAGATACAGTTAATAAGACAAGTTATTGCAGGTGAGTCAAAAAGGGCCTTTGTCTATGAAGCTGGCGTTTTTGTATTTAGTTAATATTAAGGATTGTTATTTCGTTAGGTTAGAATCATGGCATTGGAATAGACCGTAAGGATCATCTACTTTAATTTCCTCATTTTATAGCTGAGAAAATATCCTTTTTGTTTGTGTGATTTCTTAAAGAGTCCAAAAGAGTTTAAAATAACAGAAGAACTCTGCACAGACTTGCTTCTAGTAGATGATTGTGCTCTAGCTTAGTTCCTCATATACAGTAGTATTGACACAGTGGTAGTTGTGGCTGATGAAAACATTAGAGGACTCTATTTTCAGTTCTTTCCTTCTTCTGCTCCTTAATTCCATCTATCCTTCAAACTTTGTCTATATAAATTATACAGTAATCTACAAGCAACCCTCAACTGGGTTACCCGTCAAATTGCTTTCCTTAGAAATTATTGCTTGACCCTGAGATCTGTAATGGCTTGTCTGAACTATGATGGTGTCATTGCCAATCAGATTTTATTTGCAGATGACTTTTTCCTAATCTCTCAATTAGAAGGAAATGGTTTTTAGCCTGAAAAGAGGCACAGAAGGCAATGTTGGAAAGTGGTGCATTCTTTGCATTCCATTGGAATGTCTGCTCCATCCCAGCGCTCCCTTTGTTGAGATATCTTTGCTCTTACATTCTCATTAAGATATAAGTTTTGTTAGTTTTTTCTTTACTGTCTTTTGGCTAGCATTTAAATTTTGGTTCTCATTTACCTGTCCACATAGCAATGTTCTACACTACTGCTCTGATTTTTGTGACTGTGTGTCCTCAGTCTTTGACCATTCCATTTTGACTAGAAATTACTAAAGGAGAAGATAGACTTCAAAAGGTGAATCAAATTGATCAGCTTACTGCAACCCTACCTAGAGGAGCTAAAATACTTGATCTTGCTCATTTGACAACTCTGTGCGCATATAACTAGTGTTTCTCATTAAGGCTTCTGTCTTTTCCCTATAGTTTGGGAGACCACGAATTATTACAAATCACCCCTCCAGGAGCCAGGGCTGAAGCCAGTTTGAATCCTGCAAAAAAGGGTAATGGCAAATCTTCCCAACTTAACAGGCACTGAAGAGAGAATAGGTAGTTAGAGTACTGTAATTAGATTATTCTGAAGACCATTTAGGACATTTATAATTCACAACATCTCTTGGCAGAGTTAGAATATCGTTTTTCTCAGATGTCATGGTACAGCCTGATCTAGTTCAGTGGCACTAGAGTGATGTGATTATAATAATAACCCACGTAACTGGTTGTTACCTTTTACTTTTAATTGATGTGTTTGTATTTCATCTTTTGCATACTGGTATTTAAATATAGGGAATATGAATTGAAGATAAAACAGAGCACTGTATGTCTGATGCCCAAACAGTCTGCTTTTAATTCACTGTTAGAGGTTAGGGAAATAGGAGGTGTGGTTTATGAGTAGGGAGAATTCTGAAATTAAAATTTTAATTATCTGGAGTGGAAATAATGAGAATCTAGATAAATAGGAGTTAAGGGAAAGAGTCTTCAGTATACATGGTAGTTTATGAAGTTAGTTTCTCTAAAAATAGCCAGTTGCTTCATTTCCACCCCTAAGTTGTATTAAATACATATTTTTTCATGATAATTCACTTTTTAAGCACCATGTTGTTTTTGTATACTTTCAGCTGCTTGTGAGTTTTCTGAGAAGGACATAACAAATATTGAACATCATCAATCCAGTAATAAAGATTTAGCCACCACTGAGAAGCATGCAGCTGAGAAGCATCCAGAAAAGTATCAGGGTATTTCTGTTTCAAACTTGCACGTGGAGCCATGTGGCACGAATACTCATGCCAGCTCATTGCAGCATGAGAACAGCAGTTTATTACTCACTAAAGACAGAATGAATGTAGAAAAGGCTGAATTCTGTAATAAAAGTGAACAGCCTGGTTTAGCCAAGAGCCAACAGAGCAGATGGGCTGAAAGTAAGGAAACATGTAATGATAGGCAGACTCCTAACTCAGAGAAAAAGCTAGTTCTGAACGCTGATCCCCTGTATGGGAGAAAAGAACTGAATAAGCAGAAACCTCCATGTTCTGACAGTCCTAGAGATTCCCAAGATATTCCTTGGATAACACTGAATAGTAGCATACAGAAAGTTAATGAGTGGTTTTCCAGAAGTGATGAAATATTAACTTCTGATGACTCACATGATGGGGGGTCTGAATCAAATACTGAAGTAGCTGGTGCAGTAGAAGTTCAAAATGAAGTAGATGGATATTCTGGTTCTTCAGAGAAAATAGGCTTAATGGCCAGTGATCCTCCTGGTGCTTTAATATGTGAAAGTGAAAGAGTCCACTCCAAACCAGTAGAGAATAATATTGAAGATAAAATATTTGGGAAAACCTATCGGAGGAAGGCAAGCCTCCTTAACTTGAGCCACATAAGTGAAGATCTAATTATAGGAGCATCTGCTATAGAATCTCAGATTACACAGGAGCATCCCCTCACAAATAAACTGAAGCATAAAAGGAGAACTACATCAGGCCTTCATCCTGAGGATTTTATCAAGAAAGTAGATTTGGCAGTTGTCCAAAAGACTCCTGAAAAGATAATTGAGGGAACTGACCAAATAGAGCAGAATGGTCGTGTGATGAGTATTGCTAATAATGGTCATGAGAATGAAACAAAAGGTGATTATGTTCAGAAAGAGAAAAATGCTAACCCAACAGAATCATTGGAGAAAGAATCTGCTTTCAGAACAAAAGCTGAACCTATAAGCAGCAGCATAAGCAATCTGGAACTGGAATTAAATATCCACAGTTCAAAAGCACCTAAGAAGAATAGGCTGAGGAGGAAATCCTCTACCAGGCATATTCATGCACTTGAACTAGTAGTCAGTAGAAATCTAAGCCCACCTAATCATACTGAACTACAAATTGATAGTTGTTCTAGCAGTGAAGAGATGAAGAAGAAAAATCCCAGCCAGGTGCCAGTCAGACATAGCAGAAAGCTTCAACTCACAGAAGATAAAGAACCCGCAGCTGGAGCCAAGAAAAGTAACAAGCCAAATGAACAGATAAATAAAAGACTTGCCAGTGATGCTTTTCCAGAACTAAAATTAACAAACATACCTGGTTTTTTTGCTAACTGTTCAAGTTCTAATAAACTTCAAGAGTTTGTCAATCCTAGCCTTCAAAGAGAAGACATAGAACAGAACCTAGGAGCAATTCAAGTGTCTAATAGTACCAAAGACCCCGAAGATCTGATATTAAGTGGAGGAAGAGGTTGGCAAGCTGAAAGATCTGTAGAGAGCACCAGTATTTCATTGGTACCTGATACTGATTATGGCACTCAGGGTAGTATCTCATTACTGGAAGCTGACACCCTAGGGAAGGCAAAAACAGCACCAGATCAACGTGCAAGTCTATGTGCAGCAATTGAAAACCCCAAGGAACTTATCCATGATTGTTCTAAAGATACTAGAAATGACACAGAGGGCCTTAAGGATCCATTGAGACGTGAAGTTAACCACACTCAGGAGACAAGCATAGAAATGGAAGAGAGTGAACTTGATACACAGTATCTACAGAATACGTTCAAGTTTTCAAAGCGTCAGTCATTTGCTCTGTTTTCAAATTCAGGAAATCCAGAAAAGAATTGTGCAGCAGTCTCTGCCCACACCAGGTCTTTAAGGAAACCAAGTCCGAAAGTCACTCTTGAATGTGGACAAAAAGAAGAAAATCAGGGAAAGAAAGAGTCTAAAGTCGAGCATGTGCAGTCAGTTCATACAACTGTGGACTTTCCTGTGGTTTGTCAGAAAGATAAGAAACCAGGTGATCATGTCAAATATAGCATAAAAGAACTCTCTAGGCTTTGTCAGTCATCTCAGTTTAGAGGCAATGAAACTGAACTCATTACTGCAAATAAACGTGAACTTTCACAAAACCTGTCTTATATACCATCACTTTCTCCCATCAGGTCATCTGTTAAAACTACATGTAAGAAAAATGTGTCAGAGGAAAAGCTTGAGGAACATTCAGTGTCCCCTGAAAGAGCACTGGGAAACAAGAGCGTCATTCAAAGTACAGTGAGCACAATTAGCCAAAATAACATTAGAGAAAGCACTTTTAAAGAAGTTGGCTCAAGCAGTATTAATGAAGTAGGTTCCAGTACTAATGAAGTAGGCTCTAGTATTAATGAAGTAGGTTCCAGTGGTGAAAACATTGAAGCAGAGCTAGGCAGAAACAGAGGACCTAAATTAAATGCTATTCTCAGATTAGGTCTTATGCAACCTGAAGTCTATAAGCAAAGTCTTCCAATAAGTAATTGTAAACATCCGGAAATAAAAAGGCGAGGAGAAAATGAAGGAGTAGTTCAGCCTGTTAATGCAGATTTCTCTCCGTGTCCAATTTCAGATAACCTAGAACAACCTGTGGGAATTAGTTGTGCTTCTCAGGTTTGTTCTGAGACACCTGATGACCTATTAAATGACAACGAAATAAAGGAAAATATCAGCTTTACTGAAAGTGGCATTAAGGAAAGATCTGCTATTTTTAGCAAAAGCGTCCAGAAAGGAGAATTCAGAAGGAGCCCTAGCCCTTTAGCCCCTACATGTTTGGCTCAAAGAGGGGCCAGGAAATTAGAGTCCTCAGAAGAGAACATGTCTAGTGAGGATGAAGAGCTTCCCTGCTTCCAACACTTACTATTTGGTAAAGTAACCAATAAGCTTTCTCAACCTACTAGACATGCTGTTGCCACAGAAGGTCTATCTAAGAAAACAGAGGAGAACCTAGTATTGAAGAATAGCTTAGATGACTGCAGTGACCAGGTAACTTCAGCAAAGGCATCCCAGGAACATCACCTTAATGAGGAAGCAAGATGTTCTGGTAGCTTATTTTCTTCACAGTGCAGTGCATTGGAAGACTTGGCTGCTAATACAAACACCCAGGATCCTTGCTTGATGTTTGATTCTCCTTCCAAACAAATGAAGCATCAGTCTAAAAACCAGGAATTTCTGAGTGACAAGGAATTTGTTTCAGATGATGATGAAAGTGAACCTGTCCTGGAAGAGGATAATCACCAAGAAGAGCGGAGTGTGGATTCAAACTTAGGTATTGGAACCAGGTTTTTGTGTTTGCCCCCATCTGTTTTTATAGAAATAAGCTAAATGTTTGTGCCTTTTGGGGAGCACATTTTACGAGTTTCCAAGTACAATTAAAGTAACTGCTTCTTAAACTTTAAACATGTTGCTCGTAAGGTACTTTTCTTCAAAAGTCCTTCATCCAGCTAGAATATCTCTATTTGAATGAGATTTAATGCCCTAATTTTTAGTGGACTTGCCTCTGGTTTTCATTGTTATGATTTGTAAGAAATCCAGGTGTCTCAAAACAAGGAGTGTAATCATTTTGTGTGACATGAAAGTGAAATTTGTCGTGCCTATGAGAAGAAACAGATATAGTAAGTTGCAGTATTTGCTGTCTGTTTTTACATTGGAATCTATCTTTATTATCATTGCAGGTGAAGTAGCATCCGGGTATGAGAGTGAAACAAATCTCTCGGAAGACTGTTCAGGGCTGTCCTCTCAGAGTGATATTTTAACCACTCAGGTAAAAAGCATGTGTGGATGTGTGTGTGTGTGGTGTCCTCTGCATTCAGTAGGATGCGTCCCGCATTCTTAAATTTGCTTATATCATCCTTTAGAATTAATGGTGTAACAGTTGTCTGTGGTACTTTGTCTCCTCAAATTAGATTGTATGCATCTGGTTGGAACTTATGCTACCTTTTATTTTACACACACACACACACACACACACACACACCAGCTAGCTCACTGCAGAATATGAAATACTGAAATTAATGAATAAGCTAAATCTTCAAAACCCATTTGCCCTATAGCAAAGACATATATAAAAGCACTACTGTATCAAAGAGAGAGGTGCGTTTATTCTCAGTACCAAATTGGAGCCTACAGAATTCTCTTCCTGTTAGAGACTATCTAGCCTTTCACTGTTTCGTGGATATTTCTTTTCATTTTTTCTTTTTTAGTCTGCTAGTTGTTTGTTCTTTAGTGCCTATAAGTCATCTTTTTTCTTTAAAAAAGAAAGTACAGGGGGCTGGCCCAGTGGCGTAGTGGTTAAGTTTGCATGCTCCACTTCGGCGGCCTGCATTCGGTTCCCAGGCGTGGACCTGCACCACTCATCAGCACAGGTGCTGTGGTGGTCTCCCACATACAAGATAGAGAAAGACTGGCAACAGATGTTAGCTGAGGGCGAATCTTCCTCAAGCAAAAAGAGGAAGATTGGCAGCAGATGTTAGCTCAGGGTGAATCTTCCTCAGAAAAAAAAAAGAAGAAAGTACACAATTTTACTTCCTGTACCTAGTAGTCAAGACCAATATTTTAGGGCCGGCCCTGTGGCTTGGTGGTTAAGTGAGCGTGCTCCACTGCTGGCGACCCGGGTTCGGATCCCGGGCTCGCACCGACGCGCTGCTTCTCTGGCCATGCTGAGGCCACGTCCCACATACAGCAACTAGAAGGATGTGCAGCTGTGACACACAACTATCTACTGGGGCTTTGGGGGGAAAAAATAAATAAATAAAATCTTTAAAAAAAAAAAAAAAAGACCAATATTTTGGTTACTTTTGAAGGGGATAGCAGCTTTGTCATATCTACAACAGTTAATAAGATCAATGTTTCAGTACTCTAGGCAGAATGGTCTCCTAGAAAAAGCATTCTCTATCACAACATTTAAAAATTAACATCATCTTCCTCACAAAATCGGGCTCTGTCTCCTAATTTTTATATTGTAGAAGTGACACCAAAATTTTCCAAGTTCTCATATTCAAAAATTCAGGCTCATCTCAGCTTATTTTTTCAGAGTGTATACACAGTGATTGCTGGTGGTCATATTGGTGAGAGTTCTGTACGTGGCTGTGTTACTCTAGGCAATTTACTGATCTTTTCTGAACTGTAATATGCACATTTCTTAAAGTGAAGAAACCTGGACCACCTTGAATCATTGTGCCACGACTTCTCTTTCTCATCTAAATCTTAAATACACCTTCAGCTGCCAGCAAGTGAATGACATTTTTCTGAACTTCCTGAAGTGCCAGGATAGATAAAACTGATAAAATCCTAATAGTCTTATAGAGTTATACATGTGCATCATAGAAAACTTAGAAAATACAGATAAATAAAAATTATCCACAGATGAACCTTGAAAACATTAAGTGAAATAAGCCAGACATTAAAGGACAAATAATGTGTGGTGCCACTTATAAGACATACCTAGAATAGTCAAATCCATAGAGATAGAAAATATAATAGTAATCAGGGGCTGGGAGTGGGGGAATGGGGAATTATTGTTTAATTGGGACGGAGTTTCAGTTTGGGATGATGAAAAACTTCTGGAGATAGTGATAATGGTTGCACAAAAATGTGAAAATATTTAATGCCACTGAATTGTATACTTAAAAAGTAAATTTTGTGTTATAGTTTATCACAATTTAAAAAATCATCCAAAGGCGATGGTTCAGTAAATTTTAGAATTTATCTCTGGAAAGTTACACAAAAGACAGGTAATAGTAATTGCCTTCAGGTGGGGAAATAGATGACTGGGAGAAGAGGAAGGAGGAAGCCTTACTTTTCTCTGAATATCCTTTTGTGCCTTGAATTTTATACCATGTGCTTATATTAATTATTTAAAAAATTAAATTCTATGAGTTATCCAGAAATAATTACTATTAACTTATTGGTGTATATTCGTCCACTCTTCCTGTATGTGCACAGGGGTATGTGTGAACACCTTGTCTTTAAAAGATATTCAGATAATACTCTACATACTTACATGGTAATGTAGTTTTTACTACATCATTAAATTTTCTTCAGTGACTTTATTTATTTATTTTTTTTGTGAGGAAGATCAGCCCTGAGCTAACATCCATGCCAGTCCTCCTCTTTTTGCTGAGGAGCCTGGCCCTGGGCTAACATCTGTGCCCATCTTCCTCCACTTTATATGGGACACCGCCACAGCATGGCCTGACAAGCGGTGCATCAGTGCGTGCCCATGATCCCAATCCGGGCCTCCAGTAGCGGAGTGCACTCACTTAACTGCTACGCCACGGGCCGACCCAGTGACTTTATTTTTAATTACTAGGATATACCATGATTATTTGATCTATTGCTGAATATGAGGGTTTCAGGGTCAGAGAGACAGTTTGCTATTTTGTACAGCACTATAGTAGTAGATTGATCGCTAAATATTTGCCCACGTCCCCAATGATTTCCTTAGTATACATTCTTAGGGCTGAAATTTTTGGTCTTTGATACATATTGTTAAATTATTCTTTAGAAGGATTGGACCAGTCTGTGCTCTTTCAGCCCCTGTGGTACTTGGTGGTTCCCATTTTCCTGTACCTTTGCCAACACTGGGTGGTATCCAGTTTTAAAATCTTCTACATCTTGGCATTGCCATGAGGACTGTAGATAGTGGGAGCTTGTCTTCTACTGCCCATTTTCTATGCAGAGCAAATCCCTCGAGGACTGAAGCTTGCTGGTGTCAGGAGAAAACCTTTGAAATAACTGCCTGTTCTGTACCTGAGTTGTCACCAGAATTCTCCACTTCTGCAAGATTGCCATGGTGACTAAATTAATGAAAAGACCTAGGAGGCCTTTTCTCTGTTTGCAGCTCCTGTGATTCTTTCTGGGCATGGATTTGGGTTCTGTCAATATGCTTTTCACCTTTTGTCCCTTGTGCTTTAAAATCGGAGGTTCCAGTTTCTGATTCCATCTGCCTTAGCCATATTGTATTATATTTGATATTCAAGAAACTACCTCCTTGTTTTTTATATTCCTGATCTTATTCCCAGAGATATATCTATTTGTTCAAGATTCATTTTGCAAAGTGTTTTTTGGGCAAAGCATCTGCCCAAAACAGAGCTGGTCAGATATCAGGGCTAACTTGAATCTAGAGTTTCACAGACAGGCAGAATGAATGAAGTGGGATCTTTCCCTCTGTCTGTTATACAGAACTGAGGAAAAGTATAGAGGAGATAGAGAAATCCTAATTTGGTATCATTAGTATCTGTTTTTTTAATCAAAGACTGATTAACTATATATATATTT